TTTGGCCCTTACAACGTTTCCCGTTGAGACACTGTTTGTCATGAAATAACGAAGTAACTTCCTTTGCACCGAACTTGATAATCATCACAGATGCGTTCAATGATAAAGCCCCCCTGTGTACGAGGTTGATTTTAAAGAGGCCTCGGATACTCAGCAGTAGTATCATTTCTGCTATATGGCTGGTATCGGTGTCTGGTCGACTTTTGTTTTTTCGTAATGGTCCTAGAAGTCAACTGGTCATCTTCGACTCTTATTTTGGATTGATATCGATTGTGTACATCGGTCCAAGTAATAGCTGGGTACTCGATCAGATTTTGCTTCAGCCACCGCAAAGCCCTCAAACTCCGCTCATTTAGACCTTGAGTGAAAGCTTGAACAACCCAATCGTCTGTGACTGGTGGCAGATCCATTCGTTCCATTTGAAAACGAGCTACGAACTCCCTTAGCATCTCGTTATCCTGTTGCGTTACCTTGAACAGGTCCGACTTTCTGGTTTCGACTTTTATGGCTCCGGCATAAGCTTTTACGAAGCAATCTGCAAGCATAACAAAAGAATCAATGGAGTTAGATGGTAAATTATGATACCATATCATTGCCCCTTTTGACAGGGTTTCACCGAATTTTTTTAATAATACAGATTCGATCTCATCATCTTCCAAATCATTGCCCTTGATAGCACACGTGTAAGAAGTGATGTGCTCGTTGGGGTCGGTCGTTCTGTTATATTTGAGTATTTCGGGCATACGGAATTTTTTGGGGATTGGTTTTGGGGCTGCACTCGAGGGAAAAGGCTTTTGAATGAATTTTTTCGAATCTAGCCCTTTTATCATTGGTGGAGCCCCCGGGATCTGGTCGACCCTGAAATTATATGTTTCCACTTTTTTATCGTTGGCTTCGACTCATTTTGTGAGTTCCTCGAGCAATTTAGTAATTTCGGGAGTAGTCCCTGATTCGTGCTCATTTGGCTTCTCCATGGCTGGTTCCGTTCTGTGGGTGACTTCTCGAAGCGGATTGGGCTCCGGCCTGCTTTGTACCTGAGTTTGGCTCTGCAACTGAGCTATCGCTATTTGCTGGGCTTGTAACATCTCGAAGATCATCCATAAGCTGACTCCGATCTCCTCCATGTTATGGGTGTCTCGAGCTACGAATCGAGTACCACCCTGAATGCTCCTTTCCGGTTCGGAACGCTGATTCGCCTCTAAAGCTATTTGTGAATTGACATCCAATGATACTTCGGCTCGAATTTCGGGTGCTTCGATTCGAGCTTCAGCGCCTTCATCGAGTGGTCTTCTGGCGCCGGGTGCCAAGTTGTTGGTTCATCTTGAAAGCCGGCTTCGTGGTCGATAGGTGAAGCCATTGCTGATTTGAAGTTACAAACTGGCGTGTACTTTAGGTTTATATCAAACGATCACTGTTATCCTTAGCCCCACGGTGGGCGCCAAACTGTTTACCGAAAAAAATCGGATAACGTTAGATTTGTGGATGGTTCTAAGGATATGCGATACAATTTGATATAAATCGCGTAGAGAAATGGAAATATGTGTATTGTTGACTGTAAGAACGAAAATAATAAGCAAAAAGAATGAATCAGTAAAACAAGCACAAGGGGATAACTATCGATATAAGAAGTGATCTTTTTTTCCTCTCTCTTCTAGCTTACAAGGATTCCCCTTTTATAGAAGAGGGTCATTACCAAAATACAATAAAGTAAAATATGTAGTGGAAGACCCATGATGACTTGTCTCTTCCTTGATTCCTACCAAGATTCTCTCTCTTGGAGTGGTTGCAACGGTTCTTGTCTGTGAGCTCGATACTAGCTCGAACTCGTTACCTGGTCGGGCCCTTCGGTCTTGGATTGAGTTCGACTTTCGAGATGGGCGTCGCGCATTTCCGACCTCGAAGCAGTGCCTAGCAGATCAATTCAGTCATGGGCTCGATAGGATTATCGAGCCGCCTCCTCGAGCGACCTTCGGGCTCGAGGTTCGTTAATACCGACCTCAAAGCTCATTCCCAAAATCTTATTCCGACTTCTTAACACTCGAACTCGATCGAATATAGGAAGGCCGAAATCTATTTCGACCGTATACACTACCTTTCGCCCACTCTCACACTTAATGGGAGAGTAGTTAAAAGTAATTCTAATGCATTTTATTTGTCAATGTTTTTCTTTTCCCACAATTAATGGGAGGAGTAGTTAAAAGTAGTAGGATCCAGTTAAGTGCTAGTATCTCAAACATATGATATTTACACTTGAAGTGTGATCGTTTGATCATTGTAGTCCATTATCGGGAACTTATTACGTTCTACTTCGATCCATCACTTTTAAATTCAATATCGTTTTTCCTATTCAATATTGCAATACGCGTTACAAAAATAGCAATTCCTTTAATAGTATGAGAAAAGGTCAGCATACAAGAACTATAATAGTCTCTTTACTAGTACTAGTAGGGTGGTCATGGAAAATCGAAAAATCGAACCAAATCGAAAACTGAATTAAATCGAATAAAATACTGATAATGTTTTGGTTTGATTTGGTTTTTGATTTTAAATTTTAAAAATTAATCAAATTTGGTTTGGTTTTAGTTTTAAGCAAAAAATAACAGAAAAATCATTTAGAAAAATATCTAATTTAGAACTTATTTTTACATACATATATGTATAATTTTATATAATTTTTTAAAAATTTTATGGTACATATTAACTGTTTGCACTCTTAGTTTATAGTCTAGTTATTGCTTCTATAGCAAATTTAGTTTTTGCATTCACATACTTTTTTGATTAATAGTCTTTATTTTGCTAAGTCCAAGAATCAGTCTCATGTTAAAAATAACTCGTCTTTAATTGAGTTCTTAAATTATTCATCACTATCTAATTTAACTATCATCAATATATTTTGGTAAATGATGAGTAATCGATTTAATAGTGCTATGTTGGAATATAGTCGTCGGAATATGTACTTAGCCGTGTATGTCTCAAATATAAGGAAAACAGACAAAAACCATACTAATAAAATTTTTTTATTTAATTTGGTTTGATTCTGATATTTGAAAAATCGACTTAAATAATTTGGTTTTATTTTTACGGGTTTAAATGAAACTATGAACACCCCTAAATACTAGTACATATGCATGTTACGACTAGTAGTCCTTTAATAGTAAAGAAAAATGCTAGCGCGCTAGCAATGGAATTGTTGAGGTAAATCTAGCACGTCTTGCGACCCAATATTTTATTTTTTATTTTTAATGAGACGATATATAACTACACAAAATATGTATGATTTATTTTAGATCACATATTTCAAAAGTTTTACTTTCTTTCTTTTACTATTTTGTATTCAGTCACACAGGGAATAACTAGTTTGTGCTTGATTTGCTCCTTCCACGTATTATTAGTGAAATAGGTATGGAAGGAGTATCTAAGTGACTTGTTTAGTGCACTTGCTACCATTAAATGATGAAGCAACCAACAAAAAGAGGAACTTAATTTGAAGTCTTGGCTGAGTTATACACTGCCATTAGACTAGTTTTACACTACCACTAAACTATTTTTGTCGACTAGGATAGTGGCAAAGTACTATTGAGCAAATGGACCGGCTACTAACGTTGTAATGGTTCATATCACATAATATTACAACTCTAGAAACCAACCCCCTTTGACATAGAATATTCGCTGGATAGTAAGTGGGAGAAGATCACTTTCAAATTTTCAGACAAAAAGAAATGCAAATAAACAATACAAGGAAAGGAACCAACAAATATAAACAGACATTAGACTCCTTTCCCTCTCCGCCCTCTTCTTCCGATCACTCTTCTTTAATACTGCTCAAGCCTCAAAACATCCTTCTTTTCTTTTTTTTGACTTAACCAATTATCATTTCTCCACAGTTTTGCAAATTCATCCTTTAAATTTGATCAAATTACATGGTTTTTGAGTCCAAATTCGATCTGGGTCATCGCCACAATTTCCCATCTTGAATTCTCCAAAGTGGGTTTTTGGTCCGCGAAACCCAATGGTTTCTTTTGCGGGTTCGGTTGTGTCGACTTCTTTTGTCAACATTTGCAATAGCAGCAGTGGCCTCTCTTCTTCTNGCAGTGGCCCCTCTTCTTCTTCGTGTAGCTACAAGAATACATTTTTACCCAATTCTTGTAATTTAGAAAAGCCATTCTTGGTGCGTCCCCTGTGGAATAGGAAGACTGTTTGTGCTTGTGTTGCACCTCCTCGGGACTACAAAGCTGCTGACTCTGATCGGTTTTCCACCTCAAGGTTCAATGTAAGATTCTAATCATTTGATTTGGACCTTCCAATTATCCAGTTTCTGCTTTTGGGTTCTGCATTATAGTATCTCATCTCTTCCATTTTATATGATAATATTTGACAGGAAACAACGTTTAGGATGGTAAATTGGATTTGTGAGCTGTATTGGCAATAGCACAAGAAAATAATCGCTCATAATTTAGTTTGGTAGGAAAACATCACATCAAAGTTAAAATTTGATAGCTTAATGATTTTGGATTCTTGAGACTTGTGGAAGTTGTATAGAAATGGAATGGTGTACCACATTTTAGGACACCCTAAACTGGAAAGAATGCCATATGAATCGGAATAGCGAGAACACTAGTGGCATGTCTCTGTGCTTCATGAATCATGTCAAATTGAGGTAGTTACTGAAATTACTCTGTTTAATCATTGATTTTCTGGTTTTAATAGGAAGGTGGTCGAGGGTTGAGATAATGTAGAATAAGTTGAAGTGCCGAAATAGAAATATCTATCTTTGATATTTGCATCCTAATGGTTCCATAATTGCTTTTAGGAACTTGGTCACTTATTATTGGGATGTTGCTTATACCTTTATCCACATATCTCTTTGGGCTCCATTTGGTATGAAAAAAAAGATCCAGCTTGCACGGAAGGGTATGGCCTAGTGGTTAATAAAGTTGGAGGAAAAGCTTGAGGTCTTAGGTTTAAATCCTAGCAGAGACAAACACACTAGGTGATTTCTTCACATTTGCGTAAGCCTTGGTAGGCAGAGTTGCCCGGTACCTGTGTTGGTGGGAGGTAGCAGGTACCGGTCGCATACCACCTCCGTAAAAGAAAGAAAAGAAAGATCTTGATTGGTGAGATATTCCTAGCATTTTGTTGTCTTTAACATGGGAAAATTTCTTTCAATCAAATCCAGATAGACGACTTTCATATTGGATGTAATACAACAACAACAACAACAAAAAACCTAGTGTAATCTTATAAGTGGAGTCTGGGGAGAGTAATGTGTACACAGACCTTACCCCTACCTTGTGAAGGTAGAGAGATTGTTTCCGATTAGACCCCGGCTCAAGGAACAATAACAACAACAAGAGAAACAAGGACACAACGTGTAACAATAAAGATCTAGAGATAAGAAATGCAAGAATAGTACTAATACTACTGGTAAGAATGACACAATGTGTAGTAACAAAGCTCTAGGAACAAGAAAATATAAGAATATTACTATACTATCGGAAATATCACCTGTATTACTTTAAACACAAATCAGAAAAATCATATTATGTTCATCTTCCCGGACAAAAAAACATAAAAAATTTGTGTAGAAATGAACTTTCCTTATTAAAGTATTTTCCACAAGAAGCATTCATATGGATAAAGTGTTGGTGAGTTCATATTGTCCTAAACTCATCTTTTAGGTCTATACAAGTGCTTTAAAAAGTTAAACACCAAAACAAGATCAGTCTGAAAGAGAGAGGTAGAGTGGATTTTTGTAGGAAGGGGGGAGGGGGGGAGGATGGATAAAGTGTTGGTGAGATCATATTGTCCTAAACTCATCTTTTAGGTCTATACAAGTGCTTTAAAAAGTTAAACACCAAAACAAGATCAGTCAAAGAGAGAGGTAGAGTGGATTTTTGTAGGAAGGGGGGAGGGGGGGAGGATGGATAAAGTGTTGGTGAGATCATATTGTCCTAAACTCATCTTTTAGGTCTATACAAGTGCTTTAAAAAGTTAAACACCAAAACAAGATCAGTCAAAGAGAGAGGTAGAGTGGAAGAGGGGGGGGGGGGAGGCAGAAGGCGAAGAGTAGAAGGCTGAGACGTGAACCATGAGTAAGAATAACACTTACTTATCCTAAATAGTGTGGGGTTAAGAGGAATGCTGGTGGACTTCTATGTTGGTTTGGAGAAAAAGAGTTCCAAATAAAGGTGAGAGATTTCTGCAATAACTGGTTGAGTCGGGGTATGCCAAGGGTGCTCAAACATTGATAAGAGTTGATTTTTGTCGTTAGAAAAGTTTCTAATAGAATCCGTTTTGCTTATACTCAAGTTAAAACCTCCTCCGATGGGGTGTCTAAAAGTTAATTTTCATGCCCGAAGAGGAGTCCTATTACAGAGCACGTCGTTACTTACTTGGACAAGAAGGTCCATGACCTATGTTGATGGTCTCCATTGCACTTTGGAGAGGTGCCAATCTAAGAACGGCCCAAGTGGTCAAGCCTAAGACATATGTTGAAGTGTGACCATCTCATCTAAAAGATTAAAATGATTAAAATGTTAGAGAAAACACACTTTTATTTACTTAATTATGTCTTCAACACATGCTGACTTGATTCTTTTTTATGAGCCAAGCACATGAAAAATCTTTTTGATATTGTGTGGTGGTGAGACTCAAACCAAGGTCCTTTACCTGCTTTGATACCATATTGAAGTGTGTGACCATCTCATCTAAAAGCTTAAACTGTTAGAGAGAACACACTTTTATTTTACTTAATTATGTCTTCAACAACATAATGACATTAAAAAAATACTCAAGAAGCATTTAGTTTTGGTTTTCAGATTTTGGAAACTCTTCTAGAATACCCTTTAAAATTAGGTACTTATACATACATAATGCTTGTTGCTTCCATTGGAATCCCATTAGATGACACTTTCTATTACAACATTCCGGTGGGGGTTTTGTGGGGGGAGCTAAACTTTGGATTAGCTACTTGTTGTTTTTTTTCCAGATAAATGTCTGCTGGATATAATCTTTTGATCAGAACATATATGAGTTGCTTTACATTTTTCAGACGTTGACAACATTTGAATCCTGCCTAGTTGTCTTTCCTGAGTTCTGTTTGTCTCGTTTGAATAGCAGGAATCTGCTAAATTGGAGAGTGTGAGCTTGTTGAGAGAGCCTGAGGATGAGTCAGATGTGCTCATTGAGTGCAGAAATGTGTGCAAGTCATTTGGCGACAAGCATATCTTAAGAGGTGTGAGCTTCAAGGTGAACTTTCATTACTTCCTTCAGAAACTGCTTGTATCCAGTATGATTGGGTCTTGCAATTTAGGAGTTTTTTCCTTTTTTTAATTTTTTTTTTATGGATTATGATTGAAAGATCAATAAAAGGTAAAGGTAGGAAACTATACTTAACGAAAGAAAGTTGGCTGGCTACAGTAAAAATTATTGTTTTATTTCCTTTCTGGGTTATTGGTTTCTACATTCATGACTTCTCATTCTTTATGTTTGTGAAAGTGCTGATAAGTCTTTACCCTCTGTTACAGATCAGACATGGTGAGGCCGTTGGAATAATTGGGCCTTCTGGCACAGGGAAATCAACAATCTTAAAGATAATGGCCGGCCTTCTAGCTCCTGATAAAGTATGTGTATTGTTTATCTTGTCTCAGAATACAGCTGTGCCACTTATAAAAGTGTGATTCTAAATCCCATTATCTCTGCTAATAGACTTCATTGAATGCAGGGAGAAGTCTTAATCAGAGGTAAATTGCGCAATGGATTAGTGAGTGATGAGGAAATTTCCGGGCTTAGGATTGGCTTAGTAAGTTATATGTTCTAATATCTTGTTTGGTTGTCCGTTGACATGGACTGTAGAGGTACTTCTTGAATGTTCTTATAAACATTTCCATCCCCTTAACAGGTGTTTCAGAGTGCTGCACTTTTTGATTCCTTAACCGTTCGTGAAAATGTTGGTTTCTTGCTGTAAGATACTCTCAGTTCTCTAATTATCCATAAAAAAGAATTTATTTTCTCAGCTCTGCTGAATCAGAAGTTTTTCTTTTAGCTATACTGATTAGAGATTGTTGGTTCTCTTTGGAATTCTAGATATGAGAATTCAACTATGCCAGAGGATCAAATTGCACAGCTTGTAACTGAAACTTTAGCTGCTGTTGGGTTGAAGGTAAGGGCAACGATAAACATTTATAAATGATGCATTAAATTCCTTATTAAAAAAGATAATGAGTGCATTAAACAAATGCATCCAGGTTCCCAACTTACTATGACAATGAAAATAGTTTTACCAACTTCAAAATTGCTATTTGCACTATCATTTCAAGATCTCCTCTCTCACACACACTGTACGGAAATGCCCTCTGTTGTTTTCTGTTTTGATTTCTGGGCAAAGTAAATCGAAGAGAGAATAGTGGATTCATCGTTATAGTATTTCATATAAATAGTTATGATTGGTTTCACAGATGCCAATTTTCAGTTTTATGTCTATGCAGGAAGTTGAAGACCGATTACCTTCTGAATTGTCTGGTGGTATGAAGAAAAGAGTTGCTTTAGCTCGCTCTATAATTTTTGATACCACGAAAGATGTAGTAGAGCCAGAGGTACGTTCCAGGTGCTTCATGACATTATCATCAGTTCTTTTTGGCTAGAGTTTGTAATTCTGCTAAATGGATTGTTGTAATCTGGTTCACTGCTTTTCTTCATGCTGGTTACTCTGTGATCTGAATGCTACATGTTAGTCCCTTTGTCCCAAATTATCGTCCACTGTGCTTTTTGGGAGTCAATTTGTAGTATCATTCATGTTGTCCCTGAATTGGTAAATTATTTTTAAAAGTAGGAGGTATCCACTTCCAATTTCACTCCTAAAGTTGGTCAAAATGACTTAAGAGAAGGAAAAATGGACAACTTGTGACGGAGAACGCTACTTAATTTGTTATCTAGGGATGTCATTGTTTTGAACTTGAGGTACTCCATTCTTCTGAAACACCTTGAACCTCGTTATAGCTCTGTAATCAAGAGAGCATTTATTATGAACTGTTGATTTTAGGTGACTCCACTCTTACTCCGAGGACTTTCTTTTTGTATTGTTTGAGAAAAGGACTTGATGTCCAAAGATGGAAATGCAAAAATAAGTCCATATTTAATCTTCTGGGCAAGTTTAATGACTTGATGAATTTTATGGCATGAAGATGATATGTGTAATTTGCAAGCAAAAGAAAAGGATGCCTGCAAAATTGATGGATACAGCTTATTGTTGAATTGTGCAGTGCCAAACTATCATTAATATTGTGTCTTAACCCTTAGCATTATAGATTTCATAGCTCTACGGGTCATTAATTGAACGACATGGTTAGTGAGGATTCATATAGCTGAACCTACTAGCTCGAACCCGTGACCTCCTCGTCACATTGCAGCAACTTTACCGGTTACAGAAATCTAAAAAAAAAACTACGAGATAAACAAGAAAAGACGAGCATTTCAGTTTTGTTTTTCTTTGGAGGTGTAGGAAAATTGTTTGTAGAACTTGAATTATCATTTTTTTGGGGGGTGGGGGATTATAAAAATAAGCAAAGATAATTGTAGATACAAAAGTATGGGTTAATGCATAAGGAGCAAATATATCCGATTTGTTACACGGACTTGGAAGAAGGAAGCTTTGTTAAATATTTTAAACCTCAAGAGAGACCACAGGGATGGTATGTTTATTTAATTCTATTATTTTCTTTTTTATTAAGTAAAATCATTCCTGTCTTCTTACTTCATGGTGCACTGGACAATGTAATGTTAGTCTTGACAGACCTCTATCTCTGCCAAGTATGGAAACAAGCCTCCTTAAATTACGAAGTTAAGATTTTTTTGTTAACAATGTCCAGATGAGACAGATGGAAAATAGGTTCAAACTGAAATCCTTGGTGAGAGACTAGAGTAACAAGAATCAACTTGACAGCTTTAAGAATTGAGCCTTCTAGGCTGGCCATTGGCTCCCTCTTTTATAACAGAATCAACTTTTTTTTAATGAAATGTGTAGTCAAATTCAGCTTTATCCATATCTTTGAGCATTGTGATTTCTATAAATGATTCACCATTATTAGTTCACATCGATGCATACGAAATATGTGCATAGCGGTCAAATAATTTTCAGTAGTTGAACTTCTTTATTTAGGTTTAGGCAGGATACATGGTTTACCCCCGACCTTGAGGTCAATCCCTGTGACACACCTCTTCACCACGGGAACCCCTTTGCACACTCAACCTTTTCAAAGTGTGTCTAATACATACCTCTTCTGTGTTTGGCCACTTTTTCTCGACAATTCTATGTCATGCACCAATACACGTGTCAAGAAATATTAAAAAGAAATATTTAAAATTACAAGTATACCACTGAAAAAATTAAAAATCTATGGCTGCCACCACCTTATCACCACCACGGCCATAGCTGCCACCATCTACTTTCCATGATTACCACCACAACTTTCAAACAAAACACACGAACACCAGTCCCTTTTCACTTGTTCAACAAAAAATTCTTAATCTGAAAGAAGAATAAAATCAACAGTAAACTTAGCAATGAAATTGGCGCCGAAGGAAATCTGGTAACTTCGGAGTCAATATCATCGGCATCGGGCCGGAGAAAACTTCTGCATAATTCTGAAAAATCCCCCAATTTGAACCTCCTATTCCTCCAAAAGGATATGATTTTTTTGAAATTGAGCTCCCATCTGGTACCACTAAAACTTCTAAAGACAATGATGGCACTTGAAATTCAACAGTAAAAAGAAACAAGAATATTAGCTTTACTTTCAAGAAATTGCAAAACTGGATATTGGTAAAATGATAAATTTTGAGTTCTTCACAGATTTGTGAATAAAAAAAGACAATTATGTCAATACTATTTTGGCATGAGGAAGAAGACGAAGGGGGAAAGGGGTTTGGGAAAGAAAACCAGAGGAAGTGGGATTGCAGGGGGGCGGCCCGTTAAGGGGTAGACGATGAGGACCAAACAATTTTAAAAGAAACGAATAAGTCTTAAAGTTTTAACGCGTGGCACTAAAATATGGATTGGGACAAAAGTTTTAGACTTTAACGCTGCTTCTTCTTGTTAAGCACGCTCGTGCCACGTAGAAAAAGAGGTGTGTAGTAGATGCACTTTGAAAAGTTTGGGTGTGTAAAGGGTTTTCCGTGGAAAGGTGTGTTACAGAGATTTAACCTCAAAGTCAGGGGGTAAACTATGTATTTTGCCTTCAGGTTTATGATATGTTGGCTGAAAAAAAAAACTATTTATATAGGATGGAACTTTTTAAGGAGTAAAAATCAAACCCAGAATATGTAGTGGGAGGGCACGTAATGTGTGCATAGTTGTAGAAGGTAAGAGCGAGGGGTAAATGGTTCAGCATTATTAGTTCACATTGATGCATACAAAGTATGTGCATAGCCATCAAATATTTTCAGTAGTTGTACTTCTTTATTTAGGTTTATGATATATTGGCTGAAAAATACTGTTTATATAAGACTGACTTTTAAGAACTAAAATAAGGACTTCGAAGGGGGCGCGGGGAGTAAGCTAAACCAAGATTATGAAGTGGGAGGACACTTAATGCATACACAGTTGTGGCAGGTAAGAGCGAGGGGAGACTGAGAACATGTGTTGGTAATATGGAAGGGAGATGAGAGGGAGAAGCCAAGGATAGTGTGATTATTGATAACAAAGGGAGGTGTGGTTTACTGACATTTATAAGGATATTGGAGAAAAAATGTGGAGGATTCATGAGCATGTCATGTGAAAGCTATATTATTTTCAGATTGTTCAGGGTTGGTCTAGTGGTGAGAGCGCTGCAAATAATATGTGGGTTAGGCGCATGTTACGAGTTCAAAGTTCGAACCCTGCTACGACAAAACGCTTGGTATTTAACTGGAGAAGGGTAGATGGGTGGGCCCTTTATCCACCAGAGTTTTGAACTGTGAAACATTTGCCTCGAGGATTACTTGGTTTACGAAAAAAAAAACTATATGCTTTTCAGAAAGATAGTACAATATCTTTTACTTCACAAAGTAAAAACAACGAGAACCAAGTGTTTTTGTTAATTCCCTTTTTTTTAAAATAACTTTCAGTAACTTGTGCCAATAAATCTCTCTCTGGTATTCCCAAGCTTTAGTATTTCTGAAATAATTCTCAGAGAGAGAGAGTTGGCCTGGGTTTTTTCCTTTATTTAAATATTTTCTTATTAATATCTGCAAAATTATTTGTTCCTTCATTTAAGATTAGCCCGCACCATGCTGTTAAAGCAATATGGGTAACAGAGCTAAGGGAAACGAATGGGTGATAGTGTCCTTTAAAAACCAGCATTTGGACATCCGTGGTGCTCGTGGTCTCCTGATAGGAATTGGGTTAGGGGAATCAACGATGGAATAATTTGATAGCAAGTGATGCTGTTTGTTGGAGTTCGTCTTCTACTTTCTGAGTGATATAACATGATACCCTATGTAAACATGCTTGCATGTTCCTTTTTGTTGTTTTAGACAGAAAAACCGTGCCGTTTCGGTTTTAGGTGATTCTGAAACTTCTGATGTCAAAGTGGTTCCCTCGTGTTTTTGGGCTGGTAGGAACTAGTTATTACTTTTGGAACATATTTACTGCATGGTTAACCAAGTAATCTTAATTACATGCACTGCTGAGTAGGTGCTATTATATGATGAACCAACAGCGGGCCTTGATCCGATTGCATCGACCGTTGTGGAAGATCTCATTCGCTCGGTTCACGTGACAGGCGAGGATGCACTTGGGAAGCCTGAAAAGATTGCATCTTATGTTGTCGTCACTCATCAACACAGTACTATTAAAAGAGCTGTTGACAGGTTCGGTTTCTTGTTGTTCTAACTTCTAAGACATGTTGAAGTTGCATATGCTGCAAACTTTTATTAACTTCGAGGTTCCTTTTGTGCAGGCTAATATTTCTTTATGAAGGAAAGGTTGTCTGGCAAGGAATGACTCATGAATTCTCCACATCAACTAATCCTATTGTCCGGCAGGTAACGATGGTCTTGGTTCGTTTTTTCTTTCCGAAAAACTGCATGCTGATTTCTCATTTCACCAGCAAGGAGTAAGATATAACTAACTGTGCTATCGAATCAACTTTATATCTACGAACTACTCCATCCGTTCCAATTCATCTGACAATCAATTTGTCACTAAATTAATCAAAATTCTAGATATTGTGAGACTATACAAAAAGTACTATAAGTTGCAATTTTCCTTATGAAAATAACAAAACTAGTACATTTTTGAAGTTCATTTTAGTCAAAGTTCACTTAAACAGAATATGGCAAGCATTTTTGTAGGAGTACTAACTGAATATCTGAATGGGTAGAGACGCATATGTTGATTTGATGGAAAATTTACATGTTTTCGTCTGGTTATTTGGCTCTTGGTATGATTTTAAACCGTTGTTTGTTTTATATGTGTCAGTTTGCATCAGGGAGCTTGGATGGTCCTATTAAATATTAGCTTGTATATCTACAGCAAATACGCAAAATACTTGTTCGCCCATGTTTGAACTCGGAGTTGAACATGGTAGACCAGCTGGCCGTTTTACGGCTGACCTTATCAAGCCACAACAGAGAGATTAAAAGTAGTCACATTGGCATCTCCCATGAATCTGCACAAGTCGTAGAAAAAGTTTCTACTTGTATTTCAATCTTATTCTTCCCTCTTTTTTCACATTCGTTTTTGCAGTTAGACTGTCGAGAAATCCAATTATAGCATCTTCACAGTAAGGAATCATGTAGAAATAAAGTGATTCTTTTTGCTTTGTTATTACATTATAGAAGTTTTGATTATTTTAACACCACTACCAAATTATTCCATGGATAAAGACAAATTCTTGTTGCAACACTTGTAAGGAATAAATTCCATGGCACTACCTATAGAAGATAAATTTTCCATGCATGAACATCGATGATTCGGAAATTGACATGATCTTGAGAAAGGTTGTTTGTTTAAGATATAAGGTAATATAGGAATATATATCGAACAGATGCTATATGATTGTATTAGAAAGTTGCTATGGAAAGCCAATGTTTTGGAATACTCTTTGCAACTCAACGAGCATATCGTTTAGTGTTGGGCGCTCGTTCCCACCGTTAGAATAGGTCCTTGTGTTTACTGGATTTAACCAGTGTGAATTCAAATTAGTCGGACCAGTAAATTCGGAAGCAAATAAGAAATTATGGTGCTTGCAACAAATGATAAAATTGCAGAATGAGTTCTGAAAATCTTCTATCACAAGTTAAAGTGACTGGAATCAGGAGTAAATAAAATATTTCCACTCATCAAATAGAATACTTTTGCATACCTTTAATCAGTCCCCTAGGTTTTCATAGAACTTTGCATACTCCGACTTTTGCTTCAAATGACACTACAACTCTGAGAGCTCTAAGATTCCATGTGCATTAACACACAAAATTCTAAATATAATTCCACGGCTTAAACCCATGACCTCTTGGTCACATAGCCGCAACATTACTAGTTACAAGGCTTCCGTTCATAATCCAGGGTTAAGTAATAAAACAAAATGGCTGGTTAGTAAACAAGATGAAGCTTGAAAGCAGCTGCTATATGATACAATTCATAAGTTACTGTACAATGATCTCTTATCACTTTCAATCTGCTAACTTTTTGTCTGCAGAATATAGTTTCTTGCTCGAGATGAACAAAATAAAGCAACGACGCCAACATAGAAGCTAACTAAAGCAGTTATACAAAAAACCCAAACTGATAATGGACCCTCTTCCATTTCTTCTTTAAATTTCTTCCCTGGCTCTACTGGAAAAGTTTTCTGACAGCCATTAACTGATGATTCCATACATAGGTTCGGATTACCAGCAAATGCTCCTGGAAATTTCGAATAACCTTGCTTTGTGGGAATAACACCAGAGAAGCAATTATATGACAGATTTAAAACTGTCAAATTTCCGAGGACAGTTATGTTTTCAGGGATGTGACCAGATAAAGAATTATGTGACAAATCAAGAGCCTTTAACTTCTGCAACTTCCCTAAACTACCCGGAACTGGACCATCAAGAAAATTATATGACAAATTAAGGTATTCCAAACCATGTAACCCGAGCAGACCCTCTGGAATTTCGCCATGAAGCAAGTTGTCAGACAGATCAATTCCAATTGTGGTTGTGAGATTATAGTTGAAGCTCAAACTAGTTTCATCAGCAACAAGGGAGAGTTTGATGTCAAGTCTTCGAGCTGAAATTGACGGTACTGCAGGAATGGTTTTTCTAGTGTCGCCATTGTAGAAATTTGGACTAGTGTTAAAGTTACCATCTGGTATATAGCCTGAGAATTTGTTTCCAGAAAAATCTAAAGTATGAATAGCCTGAAATGTAAACAGCCAACTTGGCAGAGATCCACTGAACTTGTTCCGAGCAAGGGAGAGGAACTTGAGATTCGACCATTTGGTTATCGCATCATTTAAAGATCCTGAGAGATTATTAGAGCTCAAGTCAACAACTTCCAAAGACTTGCACCCTGCCAATGTCAGTGGAATCTCACCCGAAATCTTGTTGTTTCCCATATCAAATATCTTTAGACTATCCAACGCATCAAGCACAGGCTGAATTTCCCCAGAAAGATTATTACTGTTTAGTATCAGTGCCAGTAGTTGGAAACAACCGACGATGTTCACAGGAATCGAGCCAGTGAGGAGGTTATGTGAGAGATCAATCACCTGTAAATAGGTCAAATTACCAATCCTTTCTGGTATTTCGCCCACAAGAAGATTGTAAGAGAGAATCAACGCTTGCAAACTCTTTAATTCTGTTATTGTTACAGGAATATCACCAGAAAACAGATTGTGCGACAGGTCAAGAAGTAGAAGTCCAGACTTCTCTGATGCCTCGACGATCCTACATGGAATCTTCCCAGATAACTCATTATAACTCAAGTCCAACACACACAACTTCTCCGAAAAAACCAATCTTGGCGAAATACCATATCGCAACTCATTATGTGATAAATTGAGCTGTGTCAAACCCCCAAGACTAGAGATACATGTCGGTATGCCTCCAAGAATCAAATTATTCCCTAAATTGAGAACCGTAAGCGATTCCCTCGAAGAATATAGACAAGGCAAAGTACCCGATAACAAATTAGACTCGAGGTTTAGCGAGACCAATGCTTGGCGAAAATCACCCACATTTCCTATCAAACTATTGTGGGACAAGTCCAGATATTTCAATGACATCAAGTTTAACAAGCTCTTAGGTATATCTCCATGAAAACTGTTAAAACCCAAGTTAAGATTCTCAAGTGTCATTGAGAAATTCCCTATCCACATTGGAATTTCACCACTCAACATGTTATGACTAAGGTTAAGTTCAATTAACTGGCTAATGGATGCAAATGTACTAGGAATTTCACCAGTGAATAAATTATAGCTAAGATCAAAATTCCTAAGGCTCCACAACTTCCACAAACAAGATGGTATTGAACTGTTGAAGCTGTTGTGAGACAACACAAGGGTTTCCAGAAAAGTGAGATTACACAAACAAGTATGAACCTGGCCTGACAAGTTAAACCGGGAGAGGTTGAGTCCAGTGACCCGGCCGGTCTGGTTGGACCGGGTCACACCGGTCCAGTTTGAAACATTTAAATCCCAGCTTGATAAGCTCTGAGAAGAATCTTGGAGCTGTAACTTGAACAGCAAAAGGAAAGCCATGTCATTTGGGTCAAGTCCAGTACTACCATTTACAGCTTCAAGATTCACAACCCCACTTGTATTACCATCAAAAGAAACAGCAAATGCAGAGGAAAATGGGTTCAAGAAAGGAAAAAACAAGACAAAGAGTAAAAAGAATGAAACTTTGAGCAAACAAGAGGTTCTACAAGGCTCAAAAACTGAACCCCATGTTTCTGCCATAGAAGAAAATGAGAAGATATGTGAAATGTGTTTTTGAGTGTGTGTGTGTATGTGTGTTTGTTGGGGGTGCTAAGGAAAGGGAAAGCGGAAATGGGGGTCCCTAAGGGAGGGTTACAGGGGGGAGTGTGAAAGGAATCAGTAGTGTAGAACTGTAGATAGAGACTAAGCTGAAAGTAGGTACTTCATTGAGAGTCACCACTAGAGAACCAACATTCTTTCTTGTTTCTTGTTTCTTTTTCTTTAAGGGTGCCCTCAAATTTTATCGAGGCACACTCCTTTTGTATATTTTTACAGTCAAAAGTACCGTACTACCCTTTTATCACCAATTTGCTGAGGCTTTCACAAATGTTTAAGTGCAAAATACATAACTAGTCGGTCGGCAGGAACTAATTATATTTTATAGTATAAAAATATATAAAATATATATAATTTTTTTGTGTATAATATACATACATACAAAAAATATATATTTTATTGTTGTTATCATCTAGACACTGTTTCTAGTTTAAGTACTTGACAAAGTATTGTTTGACCAACTACATAAATCTAAACTTCAAAAAAAAATCGAAAAATTATCCAATTTATTTTAATGTAAGTATCAACTTGTAGCAGTATGGAAACGAAGCACAAGAAGAAGCTGGTCTGAAGCTTGCTCATCTAACTAAATTTTAAATCAATTGTAAATTATGACTATATTTTAAATAGCCCATTAAGTGGCTACCTAGTGTCATTTCTACCGAATAATAAATTGAGTGATCAAATGGGGTAATAATGTCATTTAACACGGAAATACCTCTTTGTATAAAAAAAGACGACACCAAATGAAAAGGACAGAGAGAGAAGCAAAAGGTGTTTGCTACTGCCTGGAGAAGGGTAAAACTAAAGTAGACAGCTTTTTCTTTTCCTTTCTTTTCTTTTCATCTTTCTTTTTGAAATTCTCTGTTTATGTCCCTTTAAAGAGACCCTTTATTATCTGTATGTAGGCGAGCGTGTGAAGGCATGAAACATAATTGTTCCGAGACTGTTGTACCTTTTTTTTGTGGGTATTTAGTATTAATATTGAGACCCAACTAGTAAGGATTCATGCCCAAAAATCAATAATAATGCTTAAATTCTAAATAAGTTAGAAGTCGTCTATATAAATCACATTTTTTTATTTAAACTCAACTGATAGCTTTGTTATGCTAAATCTTTATACTTTTGGTCTCTAAAAGGACTATTAAAATATGTTTAGAACTTCAGTTGAGTACTTGAATTGGAGGATTTTCTGATTAAAGATTTTCTTACTCCATGTTTTGTATATCGAAATCAATTAAAGTGTTATCCTACTTCCATATATATCAACCGTCATAGAGACCTCCAATAAACTCTTGCTACTGAATATTTACATCAAATCATATGTTAGTTGATTTTATGGTGTCAAAATGTATATTTATTAATCATAATTAAGTAAAATAAGTCAATTCGCAAATATATGTTATGTATCTATTGATTTGATATAAACAACATATATAATTTTTTTTATTAACAACACAATGATGGTTTAGAATTTCATATTTTATCTATACATATATGTTCTATGTTTTTTCTATCCACTTTTTTTTCCTTTGTATACGGGTAAAATTGGTCTCGAAGTACATCCCGATTTCCGACATGATAAGCCAAGCCGAGAGATGGTAACAAGGGACCCATACCAAGGTAAGGATCTTATCAATTCTGAGTCCGGACCATAACGCCCGACCTCGAGGATATAGGGGTCGTGATTAGGGGTCGGTCCTGGCCTCTGTTCAACTTCGAAGAACGTTGTCAGGTATCCAAGCTCGGCCAACAGAAGGTCGTGATATCTGTGACCGACCAAATATCACGGCGGAGATCTCGGCATATATCGACGTGAGATCGGCAATCAATTAATTAGGGGATTTTTTACCTTTTATAGAATTCTACCTAATATAGGATTCCCCTACTATAAAAACGGGGTCTTATTACTTATAAATCACATTGTAAGACGCACTCAGAAGCAATATATTGTTATTTTCTCTTTAAGCTCTTATTCAACGGTGTCTTGATAGTGATCGAAGTGCATTCTGTTCAAGGGTGGTTCACCCCCAAGGCTGTAACTGTTCAATTTGTGTGGTTTGAATTTACTCTATCATTATTTATTTCAATTGCAATTTAATTTATCACTTTGTGTCAATTTAATCCACGTATCCTGAAAACCACTTACAAATTCAATTGTTATCTGATTTTGAGGGTAAATAGTTTGCCGCCCACCGTGGGGCTAAGGATAATAGTGGTTATTTGATATAAATTTTCATAACATACACTACTTTACACTTGTTCTTTGAAGTGTCTCTAATTTCAGGTTAAAGCTCAAAATGTCAAACTCACAATTAGCACCCCTACTTGTTGACAATGGGTCGGTCATCACGGTGAAAATAACAACATAGCACATTGTAAATATGTACCACCCATTGATCGCATCGAAATTCCAGTCGCGGAACCGTTGGACGATAACTCGCATGTGGATATCGACACAAACCTGCCTACAAACCCCGAGAATAGCATCCGTGGTGGAGCCTGATCGGCAGTGCAAGATACTCAAAATAATGGAGGGGACGGAATTAATTTACGGATGATCTTCGAAATGTTGCACGCTCAGCAGGCAGGCGATAGGTCAGTTACAAAACTAAAGCCGCGCACCGAGCAAATTGAACCCGATCCATCCCGGGATGTCACCCATACGGACGAACCGATCACAGAGAGGTCGAATGGAAATGAATCGGGGACTAACCCCGAGATCATAAAAATGCTCGAGGAGCTAACAAAACGGATAGAACCAGGGGAGAAGAAAATCAAAGCAAATGACAAAAAGATAGAAACATACAACTCCAAGGTCGACCAAATCAAGGGAGCGTCGCCGATACTGAAAGGCCTGGATTCCATGAAGTTTATACAAAAACATTTCCCTTCGAGTGAGTTCACAAGCCGATCCCTAAAAAATTCCGCATGCCTGAAATTCCTAAGTACAACGGAACGACCAACCCAAACGAGCATGTTACCTCTTACACATGCGACATCAAAGGGAACAACTTAGAGGATGATAAGATTGCGTCTGTCTTGTTGAAGAAATTCGGAGAGACCCTGTCAAAGGGAGCTATGATATGGTATCACAACTTACCTCCTAATTCTATTGACTCATTTGTTATGCTTGCAGGCTCTTTCGTGAAAGCACACGCCAGGCCTATCAAGGTCGAAACCAGAAAGTCAGACATTTTCAAAGTAATACAGAAGGATAATGAGATGCTCAGAGATTTTGTGTTCTAGTTCCAAATGGAACGGATGGATCTGCCACCGGTTGATGACGATTGGGACGTTCAAGCTTTCACTCAGGGACTCAATGTTCGAAGCTCGGTGGCTTCACAGTAATTGAAACAAAATTTGATAGAATATCCGGTTGTTACTTGGGCCGATGTGCACAACCGGTATCAATCAAAAATTAGAGTCAAAGATGGTCAACTTAGAGCTCCTCTGGGGTTCGTCTATCCCGTCAGAACCTCGACGCAGTCAAGAGAGATATCGACCATGAACCAAGGTCAAACAGGGATCATTACCAGCATTATAATGGAGACTGAAGAAGCAGTGGGTCCGGGTAAAATTCTATACGAAATGAGAAGAGAAGTGATCAAGGCTAGAGAATCCGGGGACTCATGAGCAAAAATGGTTTCGACATACCTATCGGGCCTAAGGAAGCACCAAGGTTATCGGAATACAACTTTAACGTCGATGTTGCCTCTATTGTATCAGTTATCGGACGCATCAAGGACACCAAATGGCCTCAACCTCTACAATCTGATCCGGCCCAAAGGGATCCTAACCAAATGTGCAAATACCATGGCACTCACGGCCATATAATAGAGGATTGCAGATAATTAAGAGAGGAAGTAGCACGGCTATTCAGCAACGGGCACCTTCGAGAATTCCTAAGCGACCGAGCTAAAAACCATTTCAGGAATATTGATGGGTTTTTAATGTCTTTGGCTTATGATTCTTATGTTTTGATTATCTAACAAACTTGTTGTGAAGAACCAGTTAGAGAACCTGCCCACATGATATACATTTCAACTAAATAATGTCACATCTGAAAATCAGCAAATGAATGAACAACCATACGGAGGAACACAACATGGACCTGGTGACCTGGTCTCTTAGGGATCTATGATAGAAGTACAAGTCAGTGATTGTCCATAATCATTATAAATAGGAACACAGGGACCTAGTCCCTTAGGGTTCTCTTACAGAAGTACAAGTCAACGGTACATCTGGAACGTAACAACAGAAAGTGACTATCTTGCAACTGTTACAAAAGAGGAACACAATTGGGACCTGGTCCCTTAGTGCTCTCTGATAGAAGTACAAGTCAACTATAAAGCTGGAACGTAACTGCACACAAGTGACTGTGCAGACAGTGCAGCAGTCACTTCTCATTGGGAGCGTGTACGAAGAATTGACATCACTATCCATTGTGATGTCATTTGTGATATAACAACCTGGTGCATAGCACAATATTTTTTCACTTGTGCATTCATTGATATTCTCTCAAGCATAACAGTGTTCATCCGGCATTGAAGTCATTGGTGTGTCAAGAACAAGAATACAACTCCACTGAGGATCAGTTTCACAATGAGCTTATACATATCCGTAGTTGAGTTGTAATCTTGTTATTTGTTCTTCATTGTATTTCCTATTTTGCTTTCTTAGAAGCTTTGTACTAGGAAAAACTAAAAATCCGTAAACTTCCGAGTTTATGTTGTGACTAGGATTAGTCATAAATTTAAAGCCTTTGTAACTAGGAGAGTTATAAAGTGGCTTGTGGTGAGAGCATAACAAATTAGTTGAAGTCTTTGTAATAGGGTTATTACAAAGTGTCTTGTAATAGTGAGATTGCAAGTCAGTGAAGTTAAAAGCCTACAAGTGTAGGTTGTGGTTTTTTGATCCCCTTGTGTGGGATTTTTCTACGTAAAAATACCTTGTCTTCTTTACTTTCAGTTTTATTAGCATACTCAGCATTATCTCATAGAGGACCAGGTACTCTACAGTTTGGTGGACTCATATAAACTAACAAATATGGATTCTAATAAACAACCGAACAAGAAGAACCTCAACACGTTATTAACATGATCATCAGTGGAGTCGATGTCCCTCAAAGTATGATATTGAAGCGCACCAGAGTATC